CGTCGGCACGCACCGATGAGCAGGCCATGCTGTCCTCCATCCTCGCCAAAACGGCCATGTAAGCCTCCTGCCGTAACCGCCATGGCACAGCGGGGTGGGCCAGCCCGGCGCGAGGGGACTTCGGGTTGCCTGTGTGCCCTGCTGCCCCCCTGCCTGGCACAGAGGGGCTGGTGGCAACTGGTGTGTGTCCCACAGGCAGTGGCACAGCGACCCTGAGCACCACGCTGTTTGGGGGGAGTGCCGGGGGGCACGGAGCCAGGCCACGGCATGGACCTGGGCGAGCGCCCAGCTCCTCTCTGAGCCTGGGGCCCGGCACCAGGGCTCTCAGGACGCCTGCCAAGCGCTTAATCCTCACAGCCCTTGCGGCATGGCGCAGTGTCCTTCCCCAAGCAGCTGTGTGCGGAGGTCCCCAGGGTACGGGCCAGCCCGTGCTGCAGGAGGCTGCAGACCAAAGCCCCCGGCTCTCCATGCAGCCTCTGTCTGCGTCTGCCCCGGGGCAGTTGCAGGCAAAAGGTCCTTGGTGTTTCCCTCCCGGCAAGCACCCACTCCAGCCTGGCACGCTCCTGTCCAGCTGGGTGTAGCCACGCTGCAAGTTTGGCTTCGGAACAGCCCTGTGCTGTTCATTTTGGGGTGCCGGAGGGTGCGGAAGTCCTGGCCGCCCTCATCTGGGTCTGCCTCAGATGGGGAGGGGACTCGAGGGGAGCGACGAACCCGCAGCGGGACCTGCTGTCTTGTGTCTCCGCAGCAACATCATCGACGTGTCGGCAGCGGACTCGCAGGGCATGGAGCAGCACGAGTACATGGACAGAGCCAGGCAGTACAGGTGGGACCTGCCCTGCTCCCTCGGGGCGCTCGCAGCCCCGCAGAGAATCACAGACCCATAGAATCCCTCAGGGATCATCTGGTCCAACCAACCTTCCTTGGCACGAGCCCGGTCTAGACAAGATAGCCCAGCACCCTGCACAGCTGAATCCTAAAAGTGTCCGGTGATGGGGAATCCGCTGCTTCCCTGGGGAGATTATTCCAATGGCTGATTGCTCTCGTTGTGACACATTTTCCTTTTGTGTCCCGTCAGAATCTCCCCAGGAGTAACTTGTACCCATCACCCCTCATCTTTTCCATGTGACTCCTTGTAAAAAGGGAGTCTCCATCTCCTTTGTAGCCACGCTGTAAATACTGGAACGTGGTGATAAGGTCTCCTGTGAGCCTTCTTTTCTCAAGGCTGAACAAACCCAATTCTCTCAGCCTTTCCTCCGCTCTCTGCCGCAGCAGCACTCTGCTCACTCCTATTGAGCTTGCTGTCCCCCAGGGCCCTTTCCACGGAGCTGTTCCCCGGCCCAGTGGATCCCAGCCTGTGCCGCACTCCCGGGTTACGTTTTCCAGGCGCAAGACCTTACACTTGTTCTCATTGAACTGCATGAGGTTCTTGTTGTCCCACTCTTCCAGCCTGTCCAGGCAGCTCTCCTTTCCCAAGCGTCCACTTCCCCACTCAGTGGGGTGTCGTCAGCAAACTTCATCAGGGTACACTTGATCCCATCATCCGGATCACTTATGAAGGTGTTAAACAGCGTTGGGCCCAGTATCGATCCCTGGGGGACCCCACTTGTGGCAGGCTGCCACTTTGAGAAGGAGCTATCTGCCCCCACCCTCGGGGTGCAGCCGTCAGCCAGATCCCCACCCACCGCACAGACCACTTGTCTGGGCTGTAACGCATCCGTTCCTCTTGGAGAAATCCACGTAGATGATGGGCATGTCCCCAGGAAGGCATCGGGCCTCGGGGTTTTGGCCTCGGGAGAGTAACTCGGTGTGGAGTGGGGCTCCCTGCATCCAGGGAGGTGGTGCTCAGCCCCGCTCCTCTCCCGACACCGCTGGATGAGGCCCGCAGCGGTTCCAGCGGCAGAGCCCTCGTCCCGGCTACGGGCTCGGCGAGGGCGGCTGTGCACAAAGGGCTCCTGTGTTCCCCCCTGGCGCTCGGGGCAGACGGCGGGTGGCTGGATGCGATCGCTCCCGCTTGAAAGGCGCCTGTGTTGGAGAGCTGGAGGCTCCTCATCCTCCCGCCTCGGGGAGTGAAGGGGAGCGAGTGTTGGGAGCGGTGCAGCGTGGCTCACCCTTGGTGGTGCCGGTGTGCGGAGGCGCAGCACCCGAGCCGGGGGACTCCCTGCGTCCCGTCGCTCCCTGGGGTGGGCTGACGCACTCTTCCCCGGTGCCGGCGCTGAGCCTCGCTGCTCTCCCCTCCGCAGCACGCGCCTGGCCATGCTGAGCAACAACCTGACGCACTGGAAGAAGCTCCCGCTGCTGCCGTCTCTGACCAACCAACCGCACCAAGTGCTCGCCAGCGACCCCGTCCCCTTCGCAGACCTGCAGCAGGTGAGGGGCTGGGGGGCAGCTCTGCCCCGCAGCCCTCCCCTGGGCTC